TGTATGTTAGAAATTCAGTCAAAAACCTTTAGTAAAAATTAAAATTATTCTTAGTGGGACACTCCTTTTCGCTGTAAACACACACGACTCGGTTTTATGGAACAGAACTTCCTGAAGTGATATTGTCTTTCTTACATGTGCAATATTTGTACAAGTACATCTCGAGAACCAGAGCCTTCTTTCTTAATAAAGGATACCACGCTTGAAGGTGACTTATGAATATGAGCGAGAAATGTTTCACGTACTGGGGAATATTAATGGATATATCGACAAGGAGTTTTATATTTCCGACGTCCTATAGCCGTATTTCTTCTTCTTCTTCTTTCCTTGGCACTACAGCCACAGTGTGCCTAGACCTATCTCCATGAACTTCTCCGTTCACTTAGGTTTTTCTAGATCTTACACATTTGATAGGACTCCTTGGGCGGGTGATCAGCTCGTCGCAAGGCCTCCACCTGTACACAAACACAGAAAAACGTACACACACAAAAAAAATTCTCTGAGTGGGATTCGAACCCACGATCCCGGTTTCCAAGCGAGCGAAGACAGTACATGCCTTAGAAACAACAAGAAGACAAATTTGGCTTCAAAATGACAGTGAATCTCCGCTTTGCGGCAAAGCGGTACTGCATTTATTGAAAGAAGATAATGAAGGAATTTGGATAGGAAGGAGTGGACCGGTGGCTTGCCCCACTCGGTCTCCAGTTTAAACAAATTTCATAGATTTCCTTGGGTTGCATAAAGTGAAGGGTTCATCACGATGATAAACCAGAAACAAGGTATCTGTCAGTAGAGATCATAGGTGAAACCACGATTGAAATGAGAAACGAGCTGGGATGTATGCAGTGCTAAAATTCATGGCACGAAAGTTGGCAACATGCATGCAGTCTAATTATGGGAATTTCTAACATGTGTCGTAATAACCTGTAAGTGACTGTTGTGTTTACAGTTATGATAATAACGGTGAGCTGAAACGACGAATCTTATTCAATGCTACAATAAGCGAGCATTTAACGCGATAGCGGTATAAATTTGACCTAATATTTGTTACAAGATTTTACTCGAGGCTCTTGTAAATAAATTCATAGATGATAACTTTTATCCTCCTTTGTGTTCTGCGTTTCCTTCTGAAAATGTTTTATGTCAAATCCGCATTCTGGTCCCAAATGTACCGAATACTATCACGTCATTTCCGTATAATATTCTTATTTGAGCTTTTGGGAAGACAAACCCATTTTTATATACTTGAAATACGGATATAGTCGATCACGGAAGCCGAGCTTTCTAAGGCATGTACTGTCTTCGCTCGCTTGGAAACCGGGATCATGGGTTCGAATCCCACTCAGGGCATTTTTTTGTGTGTGTACGTTTTTCTGTGTTTGTGTACAGGTGGAGGCCTTGCGACGAGCTGATCACCCGCCCAAGGAGTCCTATCAAATGTGTAAGATCTAGAAAAACCTAAGTGAACGGAGAAGTTCATGGAGATAGGTCTACGCACACTGTGGCTGTAGTGCCAAGGAAAGAAGAAGAAGAAGAAATACGGCTATAGGACGTCGGAAATATAAAACTCCTTGTCGATATATCCATTAATATTCCCCAGTACGTGAAACATTTCTCGCTCATATTCATAAGTCACCTTCAAGCGTGGTATCCTTTATTAAGAAAGAAGGCTCTGGTTCTCGAGATGTACTTGTACAAATATTGCACATGTAAGAAAGACAATATCACTTCAGGAAGTTCTGTTCCATAAAACCGAGTAGTGTGTGTTTACAGCGAAAAGGAGTGTCCCACTAAGAATAATTTTAATTTTTACTAAAGGTTTTTGACTGAATTTCTAACATACAAAGTTACCAACCGGCCAACCAACCAACTAGTTCCACGGGACTGCATCGTCACTCCGAAGCTAATAGTCCTCCAGGTAATAAAGAAACGGCTCTAATTTTACTGGCATGCAGCTCTTGTTCACAAGATCATGTTGCCTGATCCCAACCTGAGGAAAATGATTTCTGCGCACGCACACACACACACACATTTACATATATCCGTTCTGAAGTTGGATTCTAACCCACGATCCCAATGTCCGACCCGGCGAAACCGATCATGCCCTAGAGCGCGCGGCCACTGGGATCGGCAGCAGGTACATGCAACGTTTATATTGATGGAGAGGTTCTCATTTCGCCAGACTGCTATTAAGACACGGGAATTTTTCGTGTTTGCCAACACAGAGTGGTCGAAAATGTACAGAACCATAGCATGGTATGGAAGAATGTGAAAGGTAAACAGGTGAAAATTTTACAGATGTTTGGTCATGTGTGAGTTGTAGGGACTCTGATGTTTCAACAAGAATTCGGTCACTTACCAGCTTCAACTAACCGTATCGTAGTATTCTGTTATTTCATATACGGAAATCCAAATTTACATTGTCATTGATGTTTCTTTTCGTGAGGATCGAATACCTTCCTATACCTAACAATACCACAATAAGTGCAACTTCAGAAGCTGGCGGAATCATACCCGACAAAAAAAGGGGTAGCAAACGAGAGCAGAATAAAGAGAGGGCGGTCTGTATTGATATGGTTTTCGTTCTAGCTGCACTAACACTGAAAATTGTTGGAAATATGTTTCTAAGTATAAGACGATATGAGAACATAGTAAAAAATGCAGTGATGTATCATTTCTGCTTTTCCAGTAAATGTCAATTGATAAATAAGTTTTAATCAGATTTCATTGTGCTTCATTTCCCTGTTATTTTAAAAATAACTTTATTTAAATTTAAGGTGATCTTTATCGACTAAGGGAAGAAAGCTACCACAGAGACCTCTACGAAAAGTATGGGAAAATCATGAAAATCACTGGAATCCCAGGGGTTAAAAATATAGTGATAGTCTTCGATCCTGACGACATTGAAAAGGTAAGTGTTTACAAGTGACGCATTCTTGGTGTGCAATTAGCTTCGTGCTGACGGAATGCGCAAATACATTTTCCAACTTTTACGTTCTTCCATATGCTTTAATACGTATTTAAGGTAAACTGTTATCCAATCGTAAACTGGCGGGCACCTGCGAACCTCGGAAGAGGTTTTTGTTGGCCCGAGAAAAGATTAAAAATTTCATAATATATATTAAGTCTGATACAAAACGATCTCAAGCACATTATTCTATCCATTTAATTTGTTAAAAATTATTTAGCCCCACCGTCAGTGACTTCCCAGAGCGTCTCAATGCCTGACTATGTTCCAATGACGAAGGAATGAAGGAATGAACATTAGTCTCTAGGGCAACCCATCAAAACCTTACGGCAAGTTTCACACTCAGTCCTTTGCTAAATACATCAGGCGTTCTCGTTATGATTTCCAGGTCACTCCGTCATCGAACCAATGAGTTCAATATCACTGTTGAAATCCACGTATTAAACACGATACTATCGGGTGCAAATGTTTTATTCTAAGTCGTGGCGATCGTGATAATATCAGTCCTGTTTTCTATCAGGTTAACGTTGTTGTTCGGGGAACCCGGTAGCGTAGTTGGTTGAGGCACTATGCTACAAACCGGAAGGACGCGGATTCAAGCCTCGATGAGGTCAGTGAAATTTTTTCAATTTAACTAATCCGCCCAGCAGCACTATGGCCCTGGGGTCGACTGAGCCTCTAACAGAAATTATTACCAGGAATATTCTTGGGGGTTAAGTGCTGACAACCTTGCCGCCATATATTATTGTGTAGAAAATGTGGGAACCTCAATATCTCAAAACCCTTTTGGGCCTCCGCGGCCTGGTACAGGGATACCTTTACTTTTATTTTCTTTTTACTTACGTTGTTTTTAGACAACATGAGTATGTGAGAACCTGCTGGAAAAGAATTATACAGTTCCACTAATGAACGGAAGGATTTTGTTTGGCCTCTGTTAAGGGAAAGTCAATGTTTATTCTGTACCGTGCCACAGTTTCAGCATAATGTCGAAGTATTGAAAATCTAACCCCAAAGGTTTCTGACACAAACATTACTTTCTGTTCCGATGTAAGTTAAAAATTATATCATAAACAGTGATATTTTTTCAGACAATAAACTACATATCATTTTAACGGAATTCTACGGAGTTTCTTTGTGAGGTCTTCGTGGGATTATTTAAATATAGTAGTATTTAGATTACAATGAAATCGCCTCGGTGAGATGGCCATGTGAATATGGAATTAGATTCTGACGTTTCGGAGACCTTTTCAATCTCTATAATCAGTGTCGATTTGTTGAGTATCATGTAAACATTTGATTATGGAGATAGAGGCAGACTGCCGCCCGTCGACTAACTGCACATTCACTTGGACGATCGGATGAGAGGACTTCAATGCACACAGTCGACAAGAAACTTAGATTTTCTTTTAATTCTACTGGTGTTTGATTCCTGGCGGAGGATGGTGACGGAGTGTGGGAGAAATGCAGCAGAGATTATTTTGGAATATTTTCCTCCGCCTTCAGTGTTCAGTCGGAGAGTAAACAATCAAGGAAACGTTCTTAACTGCTACCATTCACTTTTGCTGTGTTCAGGTGTTCAGGAACGAAGGTCCGTGGCCGATCAGGGAAACAGCAAAAAGTATAACATATTATCGTTTGTTTACAAGAAAAGATATCTTCCAAGGCGTTGGAGGAGTGATTGTAACGTAAGTATGAGAGACTGACGTCAGATTTTGTGATAATTATTCTTTAATGATGTAGTTACACACACTTCCTTGTAACCGATTCTTCAAACAAAGTATTTCAGAATATTTATTTCCATTAACAAACAGCCCAAACATCATTTAGTATAGAGCTACATGCAGTCGATTTTTCATTTATACCCTAATATTCGGAAGGGAAATTGAAATTCTATTTCTTAAAACCTGAAAGTCAATAAAAAGTCCGTCGAGTGTAACAATTTATAGGTCACTTCTTTATCACTTCTGCCTTACATGTTTCGGTTTAATAAAACAAACATCAGAGGCACGTAGTACAAGCATGAAAACACTGCCGTTGTTTAAGATGTACACAGTTATGTTTGCTGCGTGAACGCTGCTACAATACGTCGACGTGTAAAAACACAACACTTGTTAGGATTGTTGAATGCACGTTCAATTCTCACATTCATCCGAATCTGCCCTCAAGTTAAAACGCCAATGTTAAAATATTTAAAATTTAAAACATTTGAAGTAAAATGTTAAGCTCCTCCTTGTTAATTCGTCCCGAAGATGGGAGATGTCAGCTTGAGGATATGTGGCTTATGGTTAGATGTTTCCTATGTGCTGCGTGTTGTGTACAGTACACAACACGCAGCACGCGGCACAGTTACAGCCGCTGTATCTACTGTGAGGCTCTGCTTAGCACTGTAGAACTTAGGACAGTTCTCTGCGTTTTTAATTTTTGGCACACATGGAGTCGGTGTTACCACGTACCTGGGACATCGTGGGCACTACTTGAAGTTTAGCCAGAAGTGGCCGAAACCCTGACACTTGTAACATTGCAGCTGGCATCCCTGTGACTTGAAGGCTTCAATATTTCAATTATGCTGGAGGGGGAATTGCGACAGAAATTTTTTTGACTTGTAGCTGTTTGTCAGGAGCAGTGAGTTGCACAGGGTAGGTATAGGATTCTGAGGTGAGGGCCTTCTGTCTGTCGCTTGCTAGGAGGTCATGACATCATAGCCAAATCCTCGAGAGCGAGAGTACACCCTTGGTTGAGGTGTTCATAAGAAAATTCCGAACTGTCACCTTGACATGTTTACATTACTTAGGCATGTCAGGTGATAAGTTTAAGGTGATAAGTTTAAGGTTATATTTTATTATATAGACGTCCTTGGCCTTCTTCTATTAAATGATTTATGTAATAATGAGAATCCAGGCTCTCGTAATCCGCAGAGGAACCTGGTCACCGAAGAGATGTTATGTTACCTTTGAAGGGACGGAAGTTTAGAGGAGTAGGTGGGTTTTCAGATTAACTCTTATAGGTCCCACATGCAACTTACTCGTCGGAGTCAGATGTTTATTCCAGATTTGTTACCCGTCATAAGCAGAGGTAGTAACTTCCTACATGAAAGCGACTGGGCTACTTGTTTATTCGTTCTACATGCAGTTTTAATCGAGAGAATTTACTTTGTCCACGTCTTAGCTACATAATGTGGCCCTCAAACGTACTAGATCTTGTAATGGATCAAATTTTACACAGAGACTGATAGTCTTCGAATAATTCATAATATTAAAAGTGACTAATATTTACTGTTTTGCAATAAGCACTCGTTATGACTTTGCCGGAAAAAGGACACGAATACTGTAAATTCAGTTCCTGTTAGTGAGTAGAACCTATTATTCTTCAAATAATCCCTGGAAATAAGAATGGTAAACCTTTTGAAATAAACGTTAAGCTTATGAATTAACCACGAATCAGTAGCAGCAGATATTGGATGGTTCATATGAATTCTTTTGATCTATTTACTCAGCTTCCTGACCCAATTAGAGGTTGCAAGTCACATGATGATCCACTCTGTCTGAATATTCTTCCTTTGACTGAAATCTCTCGTCGTTTCACCCGTATCAGTTACTTCGTCGAATGCGGAGTAATTTCCAATACAATCAGAATATAAATTTAATAACATGAACATTATTGAACTTAAATCATTGCGTTTCATAGCGAAATACCTACTTGTATTAATTTATATCGCCGTAGCTCCTGAATATAAAAATCACGAGTGTTCCATATTAATACTTCGTAAACCTGTTTTATTGCAAACATATGTACTCCCGGCCGTGAGTTGATTTACATGGCTCAGTTGATTTATCTTGAGAAGAGAGGGCGTAGTGATCAAGCCAACACAGAAGGTCTGCCGTGTAGTGCCCTGATCAGAATAACGTTCTGTGCCCTGTCTTTGACAACTTACAAGCAATTGTGTCACTGGTGGTAAAGGCTGCAGTGATGAACGAGAGTGTGTACGAGGTGAAATACACGTAGGTAGAAGATAACTGTGTGAACTCTGGTACTGAATTTGAACAGATGTTGGAAGAATTCCTTGCAGACGTAATAGAGATATACATTCATACCTCTCTGGCCTCCCTCATAACCCGTATCTAACCATCTCCTTTACCTGGAATATTGCCGGGGGATTTGACTTTTGCCCAGTGTTCCTCTCAGTAATTAAACAAAAACTCTTGCTTCCGGTTGATCCTGGACTGTTTGAGTAAGAAGATCCATATGCTGCTGGTTGCAGCAACGTGCTTCTCCACAATTAATCAAAATGAGATTACCTTAGTTTTGCCAGATATTTTATTTTTTCCTTGTTACTACAGCCCCAGTGGGCCTAGGCCTACATCCATGAACTCCGTTCACTTCGGTTTTTCTAGATCTTACACATACGGTAGGACTCATTGGGCGAGTGATCAGCTCGTCGCAAGAGCTCTACCTGTAGACAAACACAGAAAAAAGCACACAAATTTCCATGCCTTGAGTGGGATTTCAACCCACAATCCCGGCTTCCGAGCGAGCGAAGACAGTGCATGCCTTAGACCGCTCGGCTACCGTGACCGGCTTCCAGTTATTTAGTGCATCAAGAAACACCAGTTCGACTAAGAAAAATATGAATCATTGATTTACGAAAAGATGCCAGTTTGTTCAGGGAAGTGTACTTCTAATTGTGGACATTAGGCATTTAATTATTCGAAGCATAACAAATTCTGATGTTTTTATAATCGTACATCAATTGTGGCGTTTGGAAACTCAGCACAATTTATATATTACATATGCAATGATTTCAGTGTTCAATTATTCAGTATAGAGGAGGTGGGTTTCCCATGCACCGCGACTAATAGTCTATTGTAGGTCCCCCTTTAATTTCTACTGTCGCCATACCCTAACGATACTAGTGCCCGCTATCTCCCCTTTCTGCCAGCGAGGTCGGTCCTCTACTGGCATCAATACCCGATAACTTCCCCATCTACCGGAGACATTGGAAACTACTTGGGCGTGAAATATTTTGCCTAATTTTGCTCAGAGGTCTCCTACAGACATGAGGATCTTTTCCCTGCCGTAAATCTACGACCCGGGACCCACGGCTTAAAGTCCCTCCCGGAGGACTTGTTCCCTGAATTTTTCCGCCCTTAAAAATTTCACGACCCCTACTTTGAGTCATGAGTTGGGAACGTTCCCCCTAGACTACGAAGGGCTCTTGTGCACTGATTTACAGAACCCTTTATTCATTTATTTCCACTGATTTCTGGTTTCGTGGTAGGAAATCTATTAGCACGCCTAATGTCCTGAATGTTGAATAACTGGTGACAGTTACCGACTCCGTAGTTCCACGAGGGCCACGTAATGCTCTGCGAGTTCCGTTTCCATGGGAAAGAACCCATCCCCCATAGAGAGCAGCGTATGGGATGTTATACCTGCTCAATCCGTTATGTCTGAATGAGACCTTGAGATGTATCATGTAAACTGTTCTGATTGCGCAGAGCTCTGGACCTGTGGATCAAGTTTGAAAGCGCGTTGCAATAATCGGATGGGTGGTGGAGCTTCTGCGGGATTGCAGGTCGTAGAAAAGCAAAAGATCGCACTGTTTACAGTCATTTTTGCTAGAATCCCACATACAGCTTAATGCTCATTTATTTCTGAATTTCTTTCCACTCCTCGTTCCTCTTAGCCTCCTTCAGCAGTGAATCCAGATATTCTGGACATACCCAACGTAATACAACAATAGTGACAGGATTGTTTCTGTAAGATCAAGAAAACCTTCACTAACTTAATTAACTACATTTGTGAGCAGGCTGTCTGGTGTCAGACTGAAGTGTTGCAGTTCGATTCTGGGCAGATACAAGAGTTAAACCATTCTTCACATCGTTCTAACCCGATCTAGGGCCAACACGACCATCTACAAACTGCTGCCGGAGGCTCTTTTCCCTAGGTTAAAACGTCTGTGGCGTTTAGTTGAAATCAAATTAATAATTGGTGACGGGGGAAAGAATCTGTGTGGCTATACCTCCACTACCAGGCACATGAATAAACTGTATTTCCTAACTAGAAGCAGGCACTCATTTAGATTTAAAAAATTTACACCAGCTACGCTTTATTTCAGTCAAGGTGAAACGTGGCAGAAGTTCAGATCGAAAGTGAATCACACAATGATGCAGCCGAAGTCAACTAAACTTTATGTGGCGCCCATCGATTCCGTTGCCAACGATTTCTTGAAGAGGTAAATTATATAATTTTCTACAAACGCTAGGCTTACTTGTACATACACCCACGTAATCTTTCTCTTTACAGATAACAGTAAGGAAAATAGTAGAAAAGCATGTGACTACCCTCTTTCAATATCACACCACGGAGTTAATAGCGAACATCCACAGATATTATGAAATGTACACTCTCATTCTTTACATATAGAGCAGCCACAAATATTTACACACGTATAATATTACAGTAGAGCCTTTGGATGTTGCCTGCGTACTTGTGCCAAATGTCTTTTGTTTACACTAGTAAACTCCATTCGCTTAAACCTCGTGTTATTTCTTTATTTATATTTCAGCCATTATGCTGAGACTGAAAGCAACTCTATCCCACTAGGAGAGGCGCCAATATTACCCGTTCAATTTGATACTAATTTGGATAATAGTGTCTGCAAAATACGCACAAATGTTCATCATACCTCTTCCTAAAGAGTGTCCTCTTCATTACAGAATCAGACTGATAAGAGACGAAAACTTGGAAATGCCTGATGATTTCGCCAACGAACTCTGCAAATGGGGATTCGAGTGTAAGTATCCATGGATAGAAACATAACATGACATTTATATATAGAACCGATTTACCGTTGAAGGTAGGATAGCGCGAAAGGGGGTTCTCGGACTTAGCCGGGACTCCAGATTTCTGCTTTGAGGAAGCCTAAATTTATATGTCAATACCAAATACTTGATGGAGTTCAGTTCTTGTGGAGAAGCCAGCAGTTCCTTAGCCACTCAGCGATTCCCATTATTATTTCATGGAGCCAGAATATCCATAATAATGTTCACAAAATTCTGCCACTAGTCTGTATCCGGAACCACATAAATCAAATGAACACACTCCATTACATTCCTTTGAAAACAACTCTGATTTTTTATACCCGTGTACGTCTAGGACTTCCGAGTGGTTTCTCTCGTTCAGGTTCTATGATAATTAAATAGACACTTCTCTTGTGTACAATGTATTCTTTATGCCCTTCCAATCTCATCATTCTAAGAATGTCTGGAATGTTGTAACCTTCATGAAGCTGCACATTTTGCAATCTTAGTGTTTCCTATTATGTTATTCAATGTATTTCCCTCAACATTCTGCTGTGTAAGGTAAAGCTAGCCCTTTTACAGTCCGTGGAAACCGAAAGGGTTTTGACGCGTCGAGGCTCATTTCGTAGGTAATCGGCTCACAGTTGTTGACGTGGTTTTCGGCCTTACACCTCAGCCACCCTTTGCCATCTGAACGATTCCTGGTACTCATATCTGTCGAAAGCTGAGCCAACCCCTGGCCATAGTACACGTGGAATTATTAGGTAAACTGAAAATTCCGATGACCTCATCGGGAGTCGAACCTGCGACCTTCCGGCTTGTAGTATAGTTCCTCAACCAACTATGCTACTGCGTTCCCCAGCACCCTGCTCTATTAACTTTAATGGCTGTTCCTCCTCAATACGAGTCACTACGCTTCAAAAGTACAGAATAATATAAGCCAAATTACAGTATTGTGTATTTCACTCTTTGTGTTTATTGGTGACCGCCTCTGTGGACTATTGGTCAGAGTTCCAGGCTACAGATCTAGGGATCTGGGTTCAATTCCTGGCGCTACCACATTTTATAAGCAGTAGTGGGTCCGGAACGGGATCCACTCAGCCTCGTGAGGATAACTGAGGAACTATTTCAAGGAAATAGGGGTTTTGGTTTAGAAAACCGAAATTAAAGGCCTTGGGGATTCGTTGCGCTGACCACGCGTCACCCTCTATCCGCTAAATGTGACACTAACTTGGCCGACAAGCGGCGGTCACTCGGTCGGTATATTTCGCTTGCGAACTAGAACCACGGATTTTCTTTTTATGCTTATTGGTGGTCGGCAAAGGAGAAAGCAGAAATTCTGAACTGAATGGTAGCNGCGTCCAAACCTGCTCTGGGGCCCAACCAGCCTCCTATCCAATGGGTAACGGGGGCTATTTCCTGGGGGAGGGTTGTGAAGCTGACCACTCATCTCCATCTACTGCCGAGGTCAGGAATGTTGGCGCTACACCTCCATTCCATCTGCGTCTTCACGCCGTGGTTCTTAGTTAATTAGGCACAGGGAAACTTTACCTTTACCCCCCCCCCCCCCTTTCTCTTCCAGTAGTTGAAGGAGAAAACATTCCCACAAGTAATTCATCATACATTTCAAAATCTACATTAATGTTTCAAAATAATTTAATCTATATATCGGTTTAACAGTCAGTTGCGTCACTCCTCCTGTAGACACGTGAGACCTTCGATTGCTGAGACAACTCTGCCTTTTCTAATTAGTATTATTTCATTTAGGGATCACAGAATATAATATTTTATCTCTGCTCTAATTAATTATGACGGAATATGATCAATATTTCGCAATATATACTTATTAAACTAATTAATATCCTGAAGATTGAGGCGATACCTTCCTCCGAAATGTCGGTTAACAAAATATCTACACGACGCCACATCCCAGAAAAGATTCATGTAAGATTTGAGGCTTTCACGGCGGTGACTATGAAGAAATCAGTCTTCTGGGATTTGGCACCGTGTAAATGTGGTACCACATATACACGGTGCCAAATCCCAGAAGACTGCTTTCTTCGGTGTTATTCATAGTCACCGCCTTGAAAACTTAACATAACTTAACATAATCAGTACAAATTTCACCCTCGGACGGTTTAGGCTCATTTACAATTATCTCAGTTGTATAGTTTCTTCCGATTAATAAAACTAAAGATAAAATTTAAAAAGAAAATTTAAGCTACCCCTGTAACAGACCATGAAGGCCCATAGGGTTGTGGGGCGTTGGGGGTCCCACATTGTGTAGATAAGCGGCTCGAAGATGGCGGTAATCTTGTCAGCCTTATGATCCGACCGCGTTTTACTCGACAGGAAAATTATTTAATTAATTCCTGGTACTCATTTCTGTTAGAGGCTGAGTCGACCCCAGGGCCATAGTGGGGTCGGAAGGCTTAGGTCAATTGGAAAAAAAATCCAATGAAAGATAACCATATGTAATTTAAATAGTTGAGAGAGGGGATTATTTAACTTATTAAAATTATTTCTGGTACATGAAAGCGCATAACAATTGCCAATAATTTACCAATTTAATTACGCCTTGGAAGCTCTTTGTATTGCCTTTCGACGAGCTGATCACTCGCCCAAGGAGTCCTACCGTATGTGTAAGATCTTGTAAACCGAAGTGAAACGGAAAATTTCATGGAGGCCTAGGCCCAAATTGGGGCTGTAGCGCCACAGGGGGAAAAAAAAACTCTTCGTATTGTTTGGTAACTGTGCGTGAATAACTAATGTTACAGTTTAACATCTCTGCTCTAAGTTTAGGAATATTTGCTTTTATATATCGCTTCTTTTGTTCCTGAAATATGAAATAAATTTACGTCTTATATTTTTAGGCGTCTTTAATCACTTTGATTGGATTCCGTAATCAATGGCTTTATTTTTATTAATATACTTTTAGGTTGCAGCTAATTTGCTGTTTGTAGTACGTATATTTTGCACAACTCACCTGTGGTATTGCCAAACAGACGCTTGTGAAATGAAAAAAAGGTAGGAAAATTTGTGTAACTGAATTACTGATAGCAGTCAATTGCACCCCTAATCGTGTGTTCAGGACACGCATTGCATGGGGTGAGAGTGTGATTTCAGAATGTGTATTGGGTCCAAAATTTAAGCGGCTTACTATGATGATGATGATGACTAACCTTTACTGGGTGAAAGTCGAAAGAGTTTAATTAATGTGCAACGAATGTAGCAAACTTGTATGGAGATGGCTTAGATATAATTCTGTGGAGTTCCTGAAATATTTCCTTAAGTTTCTAATGTATTTTGAGGAATTTAGGCAGTTCATATTGCACTAGCATTTCGCAATATCTCCTCTTTGCTAAAGAAAAATATAAAACCTTATTAAAAAATCAGAAATATTCTCAGGTTTAAATCTCTGATAATAACTGTATTATATAATGTAGCCATGGCAGAAAAGTGCGAAATCCTTATCTTACGTTATTATTATTGTTATTATATGAACTGTATGTTTATTTTTATCTGCACTTTATACACGTATTTCTGTATGTTCTGACAGCCATTGTGTATATTGCTCTGGACACGCGCCTGGGCTGCCTGGATGCAGATCTTGCACCGGACTCAGAGCCTCAAAAGATGATAAACTATACACAAGTACAGTTCGAATGTGTGCACAAATTGGAGACTAAGTTCCCGGTGTGGAAATACGTGAGCACACCAACATGGCGGAAATTTGTGAAAGCCTCAGATGTGTGTGCTGAGTACGTAACAATTAAGAAACTATAAATTTATATAATAAATTTGAATATAGTTCATTGCAAAAATGTACAGTGCTCAACTTTTATTAGATAATTTATTGGGAGAAATTGTAAAGGATTACATTGATGGAGACAGATATTCTCCAAGTATAAGACGTTTACGAAATAGTAGTGGCAGACAATCTGCATTAAACTAAAATTAAGTCGCTAACGCTGCTATCTCAAGAACAACATCAAAGAAAACAGACCCTCTAATTGGATAATATCATATTCTTCGATGGGACACAATGCAAATTGATACACAATTTCAGACGTTTAGGTGTCTACAATGTTCAATCTTAAGACTTGAAGCGTACTTGCAGCTAGCAGCTAGCGCTTAGAGACATCTTGTATGATATTGAAATATCAGAATTCCTAACAACTACTCGTAAATTATGACACTTATGTACAATATATCAACATCCATTTCTGATTCTGTCAACAGATTCAGCCTGAAGTACATCAACCAGGCTATGGAGCGGCTCAAGGCCATGACAGAGGTCCCTGACAGGGAACTGACTGTCTTGGAGAAGTTGTTGATCACAGACCCCGATCCCAAGACCGCGATGGTCATGGCACTGGACATGATGGAGGCCGGTATTGATACGGTAACGAACTCCATAAAGAGTCCCTCGAGAGTTGTTAATGATTGCGTTAGTTGGTAAAGAGATTCTGGGACTACATTTGAATCCATATAACGCTTACACTCTGCTGAAAATCTAACCGCCTAACTCTTTCATGGATCAGAAGAATCCATTGCACTTTCGCCCACTCTATTTATTTGAGATCAATTCTGATGATTGTTTTCAAACCATCTATGCCTCAGATTCCTAAGTGGATTTTTTTCGTTCAAATTTTCCGTTTCGAATTTTTTTTTAATTTCTGAATTATCCGATGTGTACTGTAACTATCTTCTGTTTCCGCCCCTTTCAGTTTATTATTACAATAATATTTCTTCACCGTAAAAGACACAAAGTTCCTCTTTATAGATATTTCTCTCTTCTTTCACTTTCTCAAGTTTGTGTTCATAATTCTGCTCAAGTCTCGTCACACGTACAGTGTCATTTGTCGGTTACAAAAAAATAAAAAAATAAAGATACAGACTTGTGAGAACACACCAAAGTAATCATCTTCCTTAGCAGCACAACCCACATATTCACTACTCTTTGTACCGAAGCTCTGCACTGGACACGATCCATGTACCCCTGTTCTCACAATTCATTTTCTCTTNAGGCGTTTGTATGATGCAATTCATCTATTCATACTTTCTTTAATGACGTGGTCAGTAGATCAGTTTATAGTATAAATCAGTGGTAAGATGATTAAAAACAATGGACTTGAAAGGATGCTGAAGCGAACGTTAATGGCTAATGTATGGCACTGTTATGAAATTTACCAAGAGGGACTGAAGAAACCATCCACAAGGGATAAGAGACAAAATTGTCAATGCCCTGACCCGTAGTAAAATCGGCCATCTGTCTATTGCATCTTAGAAAAGTTACTGCGCTAGCCAATTTGTTCGGT